CCCCCCCTGCTCCCCCCCCCCCCCCCCCCCTTACGCCCACATTCATCACTCTTATGGCACGAAAATACTTTCCATCTTTCATCGAGATATTCATTCTCTCGTTTGCCTGTTAACGCTCCAAGTTTACATTCATGCAACTAATTTCAATGGAGGTTAATGGAAAATATTATGAAGACCAGGAAGATAAACATATGGATGAGTAAATAACTTTTTTAATTATAGATTCACTACATCTTATTATCTTCACCGAATGGAGCATTTTTTTAAGGAGGGAAATTAACTTTTCCTGCTTATAATCCCCAACAACATTCAATTTCTTATCCTTTTTCTCTCGTGTTGACTATTATTGGACTGTAGTACGCATACTACGGGTAGAAGGGTCGCAAAAAACGCATTAACGCATTGCTATTATTCATTCTTAACGGGATATTGGGATAATTATATAGAAATATCAAATATTAAGATAACGGATAGATGAATGGATGCCATTCTTCTCCTGGTAAAGGGAAAATGGCATCTATTCATCTCATGTCCTTCAAGTTCATCAGCAACAATTTATTTTAATTATCGGTGTCAATTAGTTTCCGTTTGTTAATTATTCTGAGAAGTTGAGTCCTTTAATTGCAGAAATTCCATCTTGGCGTATGAATTTCAATTTCATTCGATTAATTTTTTCTTTCCTCTGAGGTAATTTACCCTCGCGTTGACTTTATTCCACCCCGTTTGGTTTTCCTCATCAGAAAATTTTTTCCCAAGAATCTGTCCTTCGTGACGTTCCAATCCGTCAGAAATGATAAATCGCCACCAGAAGCGCCAGTGAAAAGGCTCGCAGAAAGGATTGGAGAGGGTGGACCATCCCCTCGGGATGGGGAGTGGGTGGACCATCCCCTCGGGACGCGTTTTCCCAGTTCGTTCCGAGAATTGATCCGAGGGGGGAGGGGGGGGAGGGGAGGGAGAGAAAAGGGGGAGGAGGAGGGGCAATCTCGAGAAGGAGTGCTTATCCCCAAGGCCACATGCTCGAGTGCTTGTTTCTCATTATAGGGTCTTAAAGTATCGGTTCCGGTTTTCGCACTCGACGTGGTTTGAATGCGTCGAGAAGGCACGATCCGACGACAAGGCACGGCTCGTAGAGCAAAACGAGAAACGAGAAGAGCAAAGCCCCATCCAGTCGCGAGTATTCATGGACCGCTGCATTGTAGATGGTACAAATAATGGGGCAAGCGACGAAGGAGAGGAGAGGAGAACAGAAGACGATTTCCATGGGGATTTAGTCTTAATTGGTGGTTTGGGAGAGGAAAGGAGGAATGGAGACAAAACTGTCCACCATCCTCCTTCCACCTTCCTCCTACGTGGGCACTTCCGAGTTTCAACTTCGCTTTATTGGCTTTATATTGGATCAGCTGTTTAAGAACCAAATAGTCCCCGATCTCAGCACAGGAGTGCATAGCAGTGAGCTTTGAAAGCTCAGGGAAAATCTTTCTTGTCTTCTCAACGGAGTGTTTACCGTCCATTGGCCGCTTGGAATTCCGAATGGCCATCTCCTTTCATCTCTTTATCGACTGCTCGGTGTCTGGTGCCAGGAAAACACGAAACGGAAGAGCTGGACGAGGATCGATCGCTCCAACGGGCTAGAGCTGGATAAGCTACTATCGTTCCCAAAAACGTTGAAGAATTCTTCGTTCTGATATGCGACTCTGGGCTATAGCATAAGCCTCTTTTCTTTGTTTTATTTTTTAAGAATGTTATTTTTTATATAATATTATTTTTTATTTTATGAGAATATTATTTAAGAATTTATTTTTTAAGAGCTTGCTTGAAAGCGAAAGAGTCGATCTTGCAGGATTTCACGACGTCATGAAAATTATGGGCTATCAATAAAAAAGAAGCTATCAAGTTACTATATTTCCGGTACTAGAATACAGAATCCAATTCGGGGAGCCGTCCTTACAAGGACGAGCCATTACAAATAATTACGAAGTAATAAAGACAAATAGAAAAAAAATCGACAACGTCAGAATGATGGATGACGATAATGATCGGGCATACTAAATGAAGATTGAGACAGATGCGAGCATAAAACGGAGGATACAGCAGCAGGACACCCGAGAGAGTTGCCGAGTCCCGACAACGTCAGACCTGGCTCCATCCCAATCGGTCGCACCTCACCGTCAGTAGGAAGAGCATCCCGCAAGACGCTGCATAAGCAAGCGTCCGCTTCGGGATTGCCACGATCGTACGGTTCGGGGAACCTCCTCTGCACTCGATCTCGAAGAAACAGTTTTCGGCTGCTGAGGCATTCCGAGCACCATCCAGGGCGCATCGTGTCGGGGAATCGAAAGAGCCTTCTCGAGCGAGGAGTTCTTCATTAATCACGGTTCCGAGAAGGAATCAAGGGAGGGATCAACGGAGCTTATCATCTCATTTTCGGGGGGACTCTTCCGTTGGTTCACAGATCACGCACATCCTGCTGGGTCCTGCGAGGTACATGCAGGGTATACGCATTCATCAAGTCCAGACGAATTTCAAAGTTTTATTGCACGAGGCAACGAAGAACGATGATAGAAGTATATGCGAAGAAAATGGGGCTTGAACGGGGTTTTTTCCCAGTCTCCAGAATTCAGACTTTCAGCAACTCTAAGATGCTGAGATGCATTCATATGCAAGGGGTCATATACGTCTGGTTGCTATGGAGACCGGCGCCCTCGGAGACCTACTGTTCTATTGCACATGCCTCGGAAGAACGATGGTTGACAATGGTGAAGTCCAGGAAGACCCGATAATTTTCCTTAAGTCTAGAATTTTATTACAATCTCTGATGTCAAAGGAGACCCAACATGTGGTCAATAAATAGAGAATTGGGGAAGAAGAACGTTCCCTGCGTTCCCCTCCCTCCACGAATGTGTTAAGTCTGACTCACCTCGACTTAGGACACTGCAGAGATAAAAATGAGCGCTTTCATAGAACATAATGTCAATTTTGCATTTGTCCTGTCTTGATGCTTCCTTTCACCACCAACTGAAAATTGTTGACCTTTCGGAAGCTCATCCACGCAAAGGAGAAATTGGAGATCGAGAGTCCCCCATCTCCATATGCCTCCTGTGAATTCGACTCCTCCGTGCAACAAGATCCAATTAAAGCTAATGGCTTGAATGTTGGCAGCCATTAGAGAAAACCCCACTCTCCCTTCCATACGCCCAGATGAGTCTCGGATCACCTAGTACTAGCGGAAGAAAAAATTGAATTCGACCGCACTTTATAACCGCAATAAAGGCAATAAAGTCAGAATCTCCAAGAGAATATTTAAGGGAGAGGGGAAAGAAGAGATAAGGATATTCATTTCGTTGCATGAAAGTAACGAACTCATTTCGCCATTGTTTGCCTTTGGGAAAATTGTCAGGAGCCAATTTCCCCTTCAGGGCTTAATCTGTGGAAGGAGGGAAGGAGGGAAGGAGGGAGGGAAGGAAGGAGGGAAGGAGGGAGGGAAGGAAGGAGGGAAGGAGGAGCACGTACTTGTTTTGAATTCCTAATTCGGATCTTCCTCTTTTTCGCTCTCGCTAACGCAGCGGTACTTCTAATGGAAAACCTCTGTTCCTCGAAGGAATTGGAATCAATGGATGCCATGTGAAATCACCGGAAAGGCTTTGAGAACCTTTCAAAACTTCGGTCATGATTTCGAACCACTTCAGACTACGAATGAGCCCAGGTTTGAAGTAAATCTTTATTTCAAATAGTTGTGAATCACTGTTAACGATATCGATTTCAAAGTGTTTGCTGGTCGACGAGTGATATGCAGATAATAACTTTATGAAGTCATCACGACAATTTTTCAAGTCACACAACCAACTAGAATTTGGTATTCCCAGAAATCCGTGGTTCGAGATTCCAGCATGCATGGCTTACGAGGGCCCATTCGAGGTTCCAGCATGCATGGCTCATGGGGGCCCTTTCGAGGTTCCCCCATGAATCGATTCCTGTAGAAACGCTCACTCGGAGCAACGGAAAAAGTTGTCCTGCAGGAGCAAGAGACGCCGCATTTTGGCAAGGAAGCCCTCGTGCAGTCCTCATCTCTATATGGAATGGGAAGAAGCGCCATAAACTCATACATATATAACCATGGAGCCTGTCACGGCCGGCACACATTTCCAAATGACCGTCTTGCATTACCCTGTCTTCAGTGGGATCTCTATAGAATGCCGTATCATGTCAGCCATAAGACCCTCAGCGTTATAGGGAAATGAGATGGAAGAATCCCATAACCGCATCGGGCCAATAAAGGATCCCTGGAAACCTATTATTCTCGTCCCCATGGGTCTTGCGGCGTCGGCATCGATATCAAACACTGTCGACATTTTGATGGTCGCGGAGCGTCCAGCGGCAGAAATTGTCGTAATTCTATTTCTCGGGATCCACTTGGCATTAATCATTCAGAAGAAAATGCAAGTGAAAAATTCTTCTGTGATTATGTGTTTTCCAATTCGAATTTTTTCCGCAAAAATATTTACACGACTCGATTTCTCGAATTTTACAGGCTGTAAAATTCCATATCGTCACAGATAATTTAATTAATGTATCATTCTTGACTTTAATTCCTTGGCTACCTACTCACCTACATTTTTCTCTTCCCTTTGAAGACACATGCTTGCTCGTCATTATTTATTTACATGGAACCGACCGTATCCCGGAACCAGTCTCGCTCGACAGACTTGTTTTCGTCGATAATTGCGGTCGTGATGAAGCGACCCTTGCTCGTTCCTCGCCTTTTATCAACTTCTTCGAGCGAGACTGGGCTCTCGCATTAAAATCTCGCATCTCTAAGATGTGAAGGGAAAAAAAAATAAAACACCGTCGTACTCGGTTCTCTATGCAAACCTTTGCGGTGAAACGGAGGGTACTGTATAGATAAGTACTGTACATTGGGGATAAATATGCCAGGTTGCTTTTTTTGTTTCATCACCTGTTTATGGGCTTATCCAAGCACCAGTGGATAACAAGTAAATTATAGGTTAAAGTATATGTCAAAGCTCGTCGTTGACGTCTCATTTCGGTCAAATTAGCTATTCAGGCATATTTCTCAAATAAATTTTTTCCCAAGTTATTCATGCTTTTGTACGCTCTCTCGTAATTTCATTGTTATCGTCATGCCTACTTTTCCTCAGCAGACCGATTTTCCGGGATGAAGTTCTACTTTCGCTTCATGTTCTCATGGTGAAACGAAGTCCAGGGTTTAAATTTCAAATAATAACAAATATTCGGTCATGTTTTATCGTCAAGTTCTGACTAATTTTGCAGGTTATACAAATGTTCCCTTCATCATAAGTTACTCTAGTTCGAAGAGCCCACAAAACGTATGAAAATATGAAAAATGAAGGACAGAAATGGTGTTGTCCTCAGTCCTAAAAATCCTCTTTCACATTTACATTCTGTAGCTTTCTGCTTAAATCGAACGAATTCTTCGTTCACGAAAGATCACGAAGAAAGACATTGAAATTCAACGATTTCCCATTCATAATCATTCCCATATGACGTTCCCTTTCACGATTGAGGAACTTCTTCCACAAAAGTTCTTAATGCGATCACTTGGTGCATTAATAAAATTCTTCCCATTCCTGTGGAATTTAATGCTTGAATCCCCTCTTTACTCATAGCTCCAGAGACGGAGTTGATTGGGCCGACGGAGATGTACGTGGAGAAGGAGAGCACCTTGAACCTGACGTGCATCGTGAGGAATACCCTCAACCCACCCGCGAACATTCAGTGGTTCCACAATCAAGAGGTAATCTAGGGGGGGGGGGAGCTGCATTTTTTTCCTCTTCGTTTCACTCTGTTGCTCTCGAAGCAAGCCCTATTCGGGATGAGGAGTCTTCTTCCATCTTGGCTTCCATCCAGATTCCATCATTCAATAGGATAGGATGCTTCGTTGAACGGTACCAAGAGCGAGGAAAAAAAAAAGGCGGATCAATGCCTTTCATTAGCTTGCTGTCTCTCAAAAGCGCCCTCGCCGTCGACGACTAGGTTCAATGGGCACGAGAGGTTTTGACTTGATTCGGCAAAAAAAAATGTATGCAGAGGCGAGAAAAAGATTCTCTTGGCCTGGTTTTGAGATGGAATTTCGGAAGCAGCGGCTCTTGAACTTTTCGAACGCATCGCAAGAGAAAGATAATTGAATTTATGACGAACGTGGTTTCGTATTCGCAGGAAATAAACTACGACTCGCCTCGGGGAGGAGTGAGCGTGGTGACGGAGAAGGGGTTAACGGGGACCCGGAGCTCCTTGATCCTCCTCGAGGCCACTCCGAAGGATTCTGGGAATTTCTCCTGTCTTCCTGCTTGGGGGGATCCTGCCTCCCTCTATCTTCACGTCCTTCACGGTACGTCGGAACTCACCTGCTCGCTTCGCTTTCGCTCACTTGGCCTACTTCCGTGGTACTTCGTGATTAGATTTGAGGCAATCTTCTGGCGCACCGCGCTATGATGAAATTATTACCTAAGGTGATCAGCATACAATTCTATTCACGATGTAATTTCCAACGATCGGTTTCCAAGAACAACAGTCGGATTATGCAGTCTAAAAATAAACGGTTTTGAAGAAGCACCAGAATCTCGTGAATCGAAAATTCTAACACGACTGAAAATGAGTTCCTCCGTCCGATGCCGCCATGGACTCGGATGGCCTCGCCGACACCCTCTTACCCTTGAGGTGTTTGCGAGATTTTCAGGTGTTTATGATGGCTCAATTATCTGGTTTTCCATCAGTGGTCCATATCGAAGTCATAAGAAGAGAACCATATTTGTCGACACTCTGGCTTGAAAACGTTCCCCCCTTGCTTCTTCAGGGCAACAGCGGAACGGAAATATGAAAAAGTATGAAAACACTTGGCGTTAAAGTCGCAAGTACTCACATTGCAGAACCCGAGAAACTTGTACCCTGAGTAAAAACGAAGAGATTTCACCGCTAAACGGGGAGATGGAATGTGACAGCATAATACGATGAGAATGATAAGAGCATGCAGACGTCAGGACTCCCTTCCCAGAGAATTGCTCCAGCAGAAAGTATTACCGAGAAGATAGCAGTCCAGGCGGAAATCTGAGACAATTCCTCGAGATGAGGAAGGGAAAATAATATGCATGCCCCCTGCCGCGTCGAGCGGAATCGCGAGATGCGAGAAGGTGGGGCAACCCTCATTGCCTCGTCCCGACGACTAATTTCAAACGGGAGACCTCTGAAAGGAGAAATTCCACGGTTTTGTAAGATGGCGCCTCATCGCGGCGTCCCCGGTACGACAGCCAAGAGGAAAACGAAGGTTCGACAGGAAGTGACGATGCGGCAATGATGACTGTCAACTTCTCGAGCGAAAAGTCGTTGGGGAATATTGTCAGCGAAACGATGGTGCCGATGTCCGCCTAACTTCAGATTACGGCCAATGCTGCGATTTCATTTCACCGATGACTTTCAGATCACGTTTTTTCCTTTAATTTCCCTCCTCATGTTGCAAACTTGCACAAGATTTGCAAAAAAAAGTCGCCCAAGATCAGGCGATGGATTGGATGGATTAAAAATAAAGCATAAAGATGGAGACAGCAATCGCAACGGCAACCGCGAAACCTCGCAAGACCTTACAACTCCCCCCCTCTCCCTCCGCCGAAAGGCCACGCGGGGGTGCGAGGAGTCAGGGAACACACGAGAAAGCATTGATCGATGCAGATGCGCAGCCTGCAATGTGGATGACTGGGACTACCTCCAAGGCCAAGCGGACAAACGTGCCAACAGGGGCTCCCCCCTTTCCGGAAAAAAAAAACATTACCCAGCCTTCTAAGGGGGAAGAGGCGAGGGAGTCCGTAAGGAATGGTGTGGATCAAGACTCCTGTTTCTCGAACTCACAATTTTATTTTCAGAGAATTCAATAAATAAATAAAAAACTGAGTATCGCGTGATCGTGGCCATCGAAATACAAAAATAATATTTTTTCCCAGCAAAGTACTTCTCCGAGTGCGAGGATGGCAGTCTGAGATATCGGGGACGAATGCACTTCCATGAATAGTTGATACTGTGGGAGGGATCTAATCACGTCAGGATCACGTTTACACATTGAGGTATACGATGAGAGGGGAGAAGATCGCATTGGGGATTCCAGAAGGCCGGAAAAACGTGAAGCCGGAAAAAGGCCCGGAGATCTCGCGTGCCGGAGTGCATAATAACGGAGGGACGTTGACAGATATGATCGATACAGGGACGTGCGGAGAATGCCGAATGGAATCCGAGTGGGGGCGGGGGGGAAGAGATCCATTGCGAACTGTCTGACGTAGTGTGGGATTCCACGTACGGGCTCGGTTCGCGGGGTTTTCAGGTGCGAGGAGTAATGGTAGGCTGATTGATGACCTCCGTGCGGTATTGGATTTCTGTTATCGTCTCCAGGGGAAGAAAAATGAAGCCGATCTCATAAGAGCATAAATGTTTCGAAAGAAGATGATCGCACGATCGATCGATCGCGCGAGACTTCGGCAATATCCGGATGAATCCCCATGGTTTCAACGGAAAGTGACGAGTGTCGGCGGAGATTCCGTCAAAACGTGTCGTGATGACGGTTTCAGAGCCCTAGTAGCACATAACATTGAATCAACATTGATTCGATGTTGATTCAACATCCGGATGTTGAATCAATATTGAATCCATGTTGTTTCAGTGTTATGTGCTACTAGGGAGTCGTCTCGAGTCGATGCAGACCTCTAGCTTGTTTCGGGAGACGAGACGAAATCTATAACAGAAGGAGATACCAACGACTTCGCTTTCGTATTTTCATGCGTCCGAGTCGTTACTGGCGATGACCAAGAGGAACATTCAGGCAACATTATTCCATCTATTTATTTTTTATTTTTAGCAATACTATTAATAGTTAGATTATATTAAATTATTTTTGACAATTATATTTCTTGCATTTTTCATTCAATCACAATAACTCCAATGTATTTATTTGCTAATTAACTCAGTCATGAGCCAAAATAGTAATTGCTTGTCAGAGAACTGATTTTGGGCAGGTTGAACAGTTGTGTTGCAAATTCTATTACGTTTCACCGCAATATATTTTCCAAATGACATCCTTTCTGATCCGGCATCTCCAGAGCTCGACAAGTAAATCGCGAATGAAATGCGACTCGACGAAAAGATCCAGTCATTCTCTCAATCTCACAGATTTTGTTTGAAATAACAGATTTTAAAAGCATCCGAGCAACTCCGTCCGTTTATGGCAGTTTATATCTCCTCTGATAGATAAGAAGAAGCGGCCGGAAGTGAATTTATACCCCCCGAGGAGCCATGTAGGAATGATAAGCCTGGTAGAACGGCGAATCGCAGATCCAGGCCTCCTCTCTGGAGACCTCTCAGCTCGTGTAATGGATGTGGAAACACCACCGGAATCTTCCCGACACCACGCGTGCAATGCGATCCCCGAAAATCTGGGTCATTGCATGGTCATTTGGGCCTTCTCGAAACGTTGTACGTCCTGCGATTGGCACCTCGTTCGATGAGGTCCCAGAGCATAAAATAGAATAATAATTAGAATAATATAGTAGGATTAGGGGAGGGATCATGCGATGGTTTTGCATAAAAGGCTTCGATGAACCGTTAAGTCTCCGAGTAGTCTGGAATTAATGCCAAATCCCAAGTGTCCCGAAGACCGAGTTCCACAAACTTTTGTCTCGGTGTCTCTCTTCATCGTCAATATTTGCAGTCACTTTATCAGCCTAAGAGGCAAGTAGCCTGACGGATCGAGATGGATTCGACACTCGATTCCTGTTTCTTGCATTAAAATGGTCAATTACCCGACGGCTTAATTTGGTGTAGAAGAGGTGATTATCTCATTGTTCTGCCTCCTCGAGTTTTTATTGACTCTTGAAGAAGTTTTAAGAAAAATGTTGAAGAGTCTCCATCGACCTCACACATTCTGACGCGGTCATTAAAAAATTCTTAAGATTTTCCAGCAGGCAAATACGCCGCTGGACTTCCACGTGGGAAGAATCTCGAGAATTTATGATCGACGTTTCTTGCAATTAAGCCACTCGACCCCATTGAAGGTGCAGTAATGACGCACGATCCCATGACACGATGCAAGATTCATTTTTCATCCGCCCTCTGGTAAAGCCTCCCTTTCTCCTACTTGAGGAAATGTGTCGGCCCTGACGCCCGTCGTCGAGGCGGAGGAAGGGGCAGAAAATGCGAGTTTCCCTAATGTGCATGGAAATCCTCCGTTTCTCTCCGGGATAATGGATGACTTGGCATGCGATTAGACGGCACGAGGATTCCGGGATCCGAATTACTGGAGGGGCTTACTTCCTTCCGATGGAAGCGAACGTTCATCTTTTCGTCATTTCCAAATTTGAAAGCACGAATTTTCGCGTGGACGGTCCCGAGTCTGAAAAATTCGCATTCGATGCTCTTTTGCTTGAGGTGAGTGGAAACAGCGGTCACTGCGGCACAGTTCCATTGTCTTTCATTGCAATCCGGAATAATTTAATAGCGATATCTCGTCTACTCCTGTGCGAAGTTTCAGCTTTTGATCCAATAGCATGAATTTTTTTGCAGTTGGTTGAGTCTTCTAATTAAATACGGCTAATATTTTTTGATAGAGGAACAAAGGCCTGTCTGCAAACCTTTTACCTATGAATGCGTAACGGTATCATTATTATATATAATGCTCCTACCATTCATAAGCAGTTTAAAGAATTCTGCAAAGGATTCCATGCAAGTACAATAATTTTGAGAAGGACGACCCCCTCTTCCTAGTTCATTCAACCTGTAAAAAAAAATGTAATCGATATTCAATTTAAAAAAAAGCTGAAATTTAATGCAGGTATAGAAGAAACATCGTTATGAAAGCACGCAGCATTAGATCAGCACTTTTTGAACTCACCTCGTAGTTCGCCGGGATGATGAAAGCCACTGAGTAATTTAGGATTCATGGGTATTCTTGGATACCTATATTAATGCGTTTTAATATTTAATGGCAATGTTGAGATTGTCGACGTTTGGGGAGGATTTTCTTCTGAGAGGGAAATCCTCATGAAATATTAAAGAAAAGAGGACGTTAGCTGTATTTGTCCGTTTGTTCAACTCGTTAGTCCGTTCTCATGGGAAATTCAATGAGAGAGGACCGTTTCTTGAATTGACGGAAGGAAGTATAATTGCGATAGACTTGCTAGATGGATCATCTTTCTTAATGCGTTTTTTTTGGCGTACGTCAGCACATTTCCGGATCGGCATAGGAAAAAATTTAACTGACGGTCAATATGTCTCTATAAAATGGGAAGTCGGTGATCCGCTTTCCAGGAAGAAGAAAAGTTTCGGCAAAGATAAAGTTTCGCCGAAAAAGAGGTGGGGGATGAAGAACAAAGGGAAAAGGATCCGAAGAGGAAAAAATCAAGATGAATGATTCCTTGCGGACGGAGAACAAGAGAGACGCGAAGAAAAAAAGAACCGGGGAAAGAATTCCACTCAATGAAGAGGAAGGAGAGGAAAGAAATGAAGAGGAAATATAAAGACGGAGAGGAATGGATCACCTTATAACCTCGTGGGATTCGTCATCCATCACGCAATCGATACCCGCTGGGGCAAATGAGAGGAAACTCAAACGAAGGACTTTTCACCAGTCCGAGAAAAGCCTAGAGCGAACGAGGACGGCGTGGAATCCGATCGTTCTTTTGGGTCCAGATAGGGAGCGGCAATTTCCGTCACCTCATACGATACGATCGTCAGCATTGAGAAAAAAAAAACTTAGATCGATTTCGCATATAAATGAGATGTGTTTTTTTTTTTCCCTCATAGGTCAGCAGTCGGCGGGATGGCAGCACAACGGGTCGAGTGGATCTTGGGTGAAACGAGCTTGTTTCTTCCCCTCCATGGCCTTCCTCTTCATCGTCTCTATTTCCCCCTCGTGACTATCGTCCTTATAGGTTCGTTTGCTTCGAGGGTCTTTGTAAGTGGAGAATACGATTGAGATCGTAAGAATCGGGGGAAGAATTGTTGAAGATTGCTCTCTTGAGGATGAAGATTGCTTCTAAATTGTTATTATGTTGTCGAAGGAATGCAAGAAATGTTGTGCTAATCTTCTCGATGAGTATTTTTTTCGATAAGAAGCAACGGCAGAATCCTGCTCCGATTTTCATCGATGGCCAAACCCTCAATAAAAAGGAATAATGGCCTTTAATAGAGTGCTATCCATCAGCAGCTATCGCCCCCTCGCCCCTGATTCCATTAGTACTCGATCGCGTGCACATGGACTCCGGCGTGGTCTCCGTGAAGCCTGAAAAGTGACAGTATCAGTCATCCGAAAAGGCGTCTCGATGTGCAAGAGGGGGAAAGAGAAAGGCCTCAGGTGGATAATGCAAACAAGGGGGATTTCCATGACGAGATCTCGCCTGATCTTCCAGGTTTCTCATTAGCGGGGATTTCGGCCGTAGCAATTTTCTCCCGAAGAAAGGACACCGAGATCTGATAATCTGCTCATTTCGTCCCCACTCTCCTCCCTTTCCCATTCCTTTCCTTTCATTCCCTCCCTTCCTATCTTTGTCCCGTAACTCGCTTTCTTGCCATCCCGTCCTTGCCTGTCTTAGGTCGATTGACTCAACAATAATATTCAAGAGAGAAACAGCAGTGAGAGCAAAAATGTAGAAATTACGCACTCACTTGTAAGCATGAGTATAAGCTCATTTGAAATAAATCGAGGCGTCTATATGATTGGAGAAAGTTCGGCAGATCGAATCCAGTGCTCAGGCATAGGGTAACTTGGGGGAATATGGACACCAAAAATGAAATCAGGTTATAGCGTCACGTCTAGGTGAAATTAAACTTTGCCAATATTCAGAAAATATTGATCGATGTCTCCTTTATTTATTCCCAACAAGATCCGTGCAGGAAAAGTAAATGGGAAAAGAGTATTTGGGATATAAGGGGATTCCTTGTGAAGGGCCATATTACCCCAATGGCCATATTCCCCCAAGTTACCCTAACCTTTCGTATCGAGAGGTCCACCGAGGCATAAATTGACAGGCTCATCCAGACAGGAAATAACTAGAATGTTACGCCAAAGGAGACAAGAATGAAAGGAGGGAAGTCGTACGTTACACCGGAATCTCTCTAGGGTGGTATTCATGAAAGCGGGACTCGTCCAACGTGACGGATTACAGGAAATAAAAGAAGAGGAATAAGTGAGAGAAGGAAAAAAAATAGAAGCCGGGTATACGTGTCGAGAATGAGATGTCCCATCCAGCCTTGGAATGGGCTTGCTGGTCCCTTTATTCCTCGGGTTGCCCCTAATGTCCCTTCCTTCACGGAACCTCCTTCCTTTCTGTTTGTCTCTCTCTCCCCTGGGGAAAGACCTCTCTCCTTCGGCCTGCCGTTATCGACAATGATTTCTTGAACAAAGCCACCCACCCCTCTTCATCGTGGCGATAAGGGGAAGGCTTTTCAAGCGGTAATGGGGATTACGAAGTGTCCTTGCGAGTTTCGCACCGTTCCGTCATTCCGTCAATCCTTCTTACTGGGCGTGAAGCATGGTGGGTCTCGTGGGAGAGCACACTCCGAGATTATAATCCCTGATCGCAGGAAAATCGCTGATCGAAACCCACCAGGGAATCGAATCTCAGCTCAGAAAAAAAAGTGTGAAAGATTAGCAATGCAAATACAGGATTCAACCCATAAAGAGCAACATCCATGAAGGGCGTTCTGAAAAAGTCAATTGAAAAATGCCATACTTGCAATGCAACGTTAGTAAATGTTTCCCTAATATTCTTTATATTGTGTACAGTATTAATGTGTAACATGAAGCCTTCGAAGATAACCTTTCTCCCCCCTTTCTGGTACGTGATGAGCTTAATGATTGTTTGAAATGAAATGAAAAGCTACAAAAGAAATTGCGTGATACTTGTACATTATCAGTTCTTGGATGCTTCGGACTGCGACATCTTCATCTCCTCCCCTTACTCCACTGGGAGCGTGAGAGGATTACCAATTTATTTTTTTCAATGTTTCGTCTAACAGCCGGGTCGCTGTTTTTATGGTGACTTTCATGTCTACACCTCGGGTAGCTTTTTCCAGCTTTTGGCAATACCGGGTCTTTTTTCCGAGTGCCATTTTTCCGGGTGGCTCTTTTCCTAAGGCCATCAATCAACAGTTGTCAGGGGGGTTTCCAAAGCCTCGTATATATTTATATATATATATCTATATATTCTCCGATGATCTCCTGGGAGGAACTCCACCCTCAAGTCGTCCCCCCCCCCCATGATCAATAGGCTCCCCTCTCGGAGGTGATTGGAAGCGACCGCTTTCACATTTTAACTAACCCCTTCGGGTTTGGGATGTCGAAGAGTCCTGAAAAGGCAATATATCCCACGGACCTGAAGTGAACCGTGACCCACGTTTCCTCGTGCAATCATGGGCCAACCTTATACCTTTCATCGATCCGGCACTGAAAGTGTCACCTATGGAAGGTTGATCTTCATGTTCAGGTTTTCTTTTGTCTATGACTTCCTATTTAATATCTAGCACATTAGACACTTCTTGTGTCATAAATGATACATTTTTGTGAAATGAAGAGAACAGACAAGAAATATTGGTGTAACACATGTCAGCATTGTTACGCGTTTGGCATGTACGGGCTTCTTTTCTAAGGGCGTTTTGTTGTATACTCATTCAGGAGCGCACTTCGACAATTATTCTTAGGTTCCTCCAAGAAGTATGGGAACGGTGTTCCCTCTACCTCTTGAAAAGCTCGTAGGAACACCGTTCCCCCTTACTTTCTTCACTGATGATATTCCATCACGTCCAGTAAATTCGAACGTAATGTGCGTTAGTGTGATGCAACCCGCCCTCGGAACGAGACGTTTCTCTCTTCCTCTTCCATCTCTACTCTCATGTATTTTTCACTCTTGTCATCCAGGAGAAGGAGGGGAAACGAGCTGCAGAACTGGCGAAGGAAATGGAAAGGGGATTGATGAGCCACATTTGCTGCACGCCAGGATACACAGCTCCATACCTACGTAGATTTCCCTCCCTTATCTGGATCCTCCCGACTCGACACGACTCGGACGACGACGATGACTCCCCCAAGTTATCCATGAAATCTGCATTATCGTTATGGACGCGACTCGGTCGATGGATCGATGTTGGGGTGTTCATTATTTCTTCCCTATCTCCCTCGATGAGGCTCTTCGCCGAGGATCATCGGGATTAATCGCTTCTCCCCGACCTTAGAGCAGAAGTCGTTTTTCTTCTATATTCACAGGGATTACATCTTGTGAAGTGCCTTATTCTTTGCCGAATGAAGAGCGACTAAGAAAACGTACGCCTGCGTTTCAAACCCATAAATCTCTGAAGGAAACGGACCTGATATTTGCCAAGAAAATCGATATGCCGTATGGGAATCTACGGCTGAGAAAACTGCATGTAATCATGCACCGTGTGTACGCCCACATTTCAGGATTTCAGGATAGTTAGTGATATCAAGAGGCGATTTCGCCCATATCGATATCACGTGTCGAGGTCGAGCGTTCCTTAACTTTAGGGTAGGCCTAACCCTCTTGAAGCTAAATATTTTTGTATTTTTGTTTTGTTTTGTTTTGTTTTTTTTTTAGATCATTGACTTTTCCAAATATAACGTTGAACATAGGTTTCCAGGTATCTCTGGGGTCTTATCAGCGCCGCATACAACGGAAGAATAACACATCATTAAATCCAAGAAAATTCACATGGAATCGCCGCACTATCTGATGAAAAAGGTGGATAGGAGCCTGTCCCCCTTTAATTATCCCTGAATAAAGACGCCAGAGATACCTGGAAACCTATGTTCAACGTTATATTTGGAAAAGTCAATGATCCCAAGATACGTAAACGGTGCACCTTCAAACTCTTCTTCCTTCAAAATTCTCCCAGAATATATGCTAACCGAGTAATATTTGGGAAAGATGTGCCTTTCGGTAACGAAGTTCCGGATTCAATCTCGACACAAATCATCGGAACCAGAGTGATAGACAATATGGAATTCTTTATTCCATGCAACTCGTCTTGTCACTCGGGTAACGAAAGCACGATAAGGAAGTAGATCCGAACTACGAGTATATACGGCTGCCAAGTTGGAACCTAGGACCAACCAAGTGGAAATGTCCGATAGAAAGGAAAGGGCCACCTTGTTCCCCCTCGTCGGTACGATGCCAAGCCTTCCCCGTGAATGAAAACACCATCGACTGCAGGCCGCGTTGGAATGCGGCTTACGGTTCGCGGGGAGGCTTCATTCCCGATTTCCAATTAAGGAAGCACAAGGCGTGAGTGTTTTGGATAATGATGGGCAGAATGGGTTTTATGGGAAGCATAACAGCTACTCCACAACCATCATTTGTTTTCGCTAATTGCATCACTGTCCAGTTCTCTTCGACTCCAAGATACGATCCGAGATGCGATTCCCAACAGCCCTTGCATATCCTGCTAATGCAGACGAATGAACCGAGCGACTGAGATCGGAGACGCGGTCTGTATCGTTGCGGTTCCAGCTCGTTACTCCCCTTTCGAGGAATTCGAGGAATCGCGGAGATCGACAAGATATGGGAATCCTCGAATGTTCTTCTGCGTATATCACTCTAATGAAGGTGTATTGACCGATCGGCTTAGCGAGGAATCATCCTTTCTGTGAGAGTGGGTCAGTTAATGAAGAAAGGACAGCAGTAATGTTGACTCTGAGAGGAGATCCGAGGGCCTTTTTCACGCCTGATCGACCTTCATCTCTTTCTCCTCTCTTCCATATCCTTTCTATATCTCTCTAAGTGGAGAGACATGTCAGTCGCAGACGAAAGAGCGCAGACTTGGCGTCATACTCCTACGATAACTTAGTTTCCGTCATTTATGGCTCGGCCGATGCGACGACAATCTTGTTCTCTATCTCAAAATGGGAAGCTTCTATGTGGGTTCCGACATAATACCCCCGTTCCATTACAAGCGCTCTATAATATAGAGCATTGCGGTTTGCGATAAATTGGTTATTAGTTGGTAGGTATACCGTGGCTCAATACCGCGGTATGCCAGTGATACCGGCGAGGATCAGGAGGGGGGGGGGGGGGGGGGGGGGGGGGGGGGGGGGGGATATCTTACCTCAGTTTTTTCTACTCTTGATGAATCCCTCTCATGCTAATGGAAATCGGCTGAAACGAAATTTGACAAATGGGGGGGGTTGCTTCAGGTACGAACTCCTAGAAGAAAAAAAATACCACGAAGAGAGCAAGTGGTGTATTGTGATGCTGTCGAGCTAGTCGGATATCTACTAGTATATTATGCCATTCGATTGAAAGCAAGGGGATTTGTCCGTTTCAACCCAAATGGATAAGAAAATCAAGGAAGAGGAACCATTTTATCATTGTGCGTAGCCGCACGTTTCATATTGGTATTGAGTGCTCAGGCTCACGGAGCAGAGGGCGCAGTCAAGGCAAGTCGAACCCAGAGAACTTTGTCCTTAGTCCGGATTAAATACACTCCAGTGACTTTCAGGAAGGCTTCGATTTTTCTCGGGCTGTGGGCGTCACCGTGGATCCAGATGGGGAGGATGGACAAAGTATTTTATTTGTAGAAATGGCTCTTGGGATGGCGCCATGGCGGCGGTATGAGAGGCTCTTTCACCACGGTATGAAAACCGGACACCGGTATTCCACGGTTTTCACACCGTGGCGAAAATACAGAAAAATGTAGAAGTGAATGTAATGTAGAAACGTAGAAGAAATGTGCTGTATGATAATCGCGAGAACGGAATATCGCGGTATTAATGAAAATACCAGTATGCCGCATCGCCCTATGACGAGTCTATATTATTCAAAATGTATACGAATGTACGATTGAGTCTGGAAAAACTACAAAAGCACCAAATAACCGAACGTTTATTTCTTATATGAAAACACGCGAATGGAATAAAACATGAAATTAAATAGCAGAGTCAAAATAACTGTGAAAATGAAATGCAACTGAAGGCAAATAAAAGGTCGCTGTTATTGTAATCAATGTACTGCAAAACGTAAAATTCACGAAGGACAATATATTCTTGCTCAAATTTCATGAAAGGCAGAAAACAAGACTATTCAAAGATATTTGAATAGATACCAACGTTCATCGACCAAATTAGAACTTTCAAGCTTCTCTTGCATTGATACTGAGCTGAATCCCCCCAGCCTCGGAGAATCTTATTCTGTTATGAATGCAGTTCGTTCTTTCCATCCTTTTGGCTTCGCTATAAATCCCTTTGAGCTTTGAGTCCCTCAACATCATTTTGTTTCAAGAGGGGCTAGGTTACGGAGGGGCGGAAATAGGCAACCCCCCCCATTTGTCAAATTTCTTTTCAGCCGATTTCCATTAGCATGAGAGGGATTCATCAAGAGTAGAAAAAACTGAGGTAAGATATAAAGGAAATCGGGAACGAGACCCCGCAAAGAGGGAAAGGATCCGGTTTATGAGAGAGGGAAAGAGAAGATAGATACCGGTCAGACCCCTCATTTGTCACCACCCTCTATTCTAATGAATGATCCATGCTCCCTCTCTCACACACCCCGAGAAACAAAAAAAGTTGACATCCTAAAATAATGGTTCTCCTTCCGATCACCGGAGAGTAGTGTTGTGCCAGAGACTTTCACCCTTCCGTGATGGATGGATGAAGGCTGCACATGCTGCATCCAGAGATTCCTTTAATTTCTCCCATATTGAATGGGCGAATCGGAGTTTTGTGATTCTAATGATACTGAAAATATATTATCGTGATGGTACGCAAGATGTTCAAGATATCCTGATGCAGAATGGAATTAATGGAGCGCCTCGCTCTGTCTCCCACTTATCCTTAGGTGTCGAATTGGACCCAGAGACGTCTTCTGTACCAAGAGCTGGAGTTATATATTAATTATAGAAATTAATTTCACTGAGTACACACAGACTAAAATGATTGTTCTCGTCACCAAATTTCTGCTGCGAGTTAACTCTAGCGATGAAGAATCCTCTTCCCCCGGATGGGTGTTCCAGCTTAAGTTGATTTGCTCAGAAGTACCACCTGAGTCAGAACGGTGAGGGGGTCCCTGAGTACTCCGCGCTCCTGTGCGGTGAGATGCTCAAAGACTCCAGGGGTGAAGGCCGAATTCAAAATGCGGATCTCCTGAGTAGTCACGAGAGCTAAATTCAGTCTCCCAATATTAAATACCTTGAGTCTTGGAGGAGGTTAAAGTGGTGGGGTGAAGCTAATTCGAGGTGGGTTAGTTGGAACTCCAGAGCGAAGGCGCATTCATCTGGAGACTGTGGAGAAGGTGGGAGGTAGGGGGAGGGGGGAAGGAAGGGGGTGGGAGGGGATAGAGGAAGAGGAGAAGGGTGGGTTCGCTCATCTTCCTGGAGAAGGGTTGGTTCGCTCATCTTCCTTGAGACAAAGAAAGGACTAACGCACTTGCTTGAGGGTGTAACCATTTTATGTCCGGTCTTTTAATCGGGAACCAGCTATTGTTACGGAAGATTTATTGAGGCAGGACACACACAGTGGTGTGAGTGGGTTTATCACTTTTCCAATTTTCAGACTGGAGTAGCCATGTTTAATCCGGCAGCCATCTTTCACATCTGGAATCGACGACGAGAGGTTAAAACGGGACGCTGGCCATTAATGGGCGGAAATTTGAAAATGTTTACACATAGATATGAAGCAGTTCGGTTTAAACCACACATTAAACATTTTAAAACAAACCTCGAGAAGTTCAAAAGCGTCACCGCCCTGATAATTTTATTATCATCGAGATCACACCGCACAAATAAATCACGAATGAAGGAATGAATCATCTATGGAAAAGACCAATTAAAATTCGAAAAGTTTTTATGACCTAGCCTATAGCCTTGTAGGCCTTGCGTATTAGGTCGCGGATGAGTGACAACCATTCACTACCGCTTTTTCCCTCTTTCAACTTTCATGACCTGGCCTATGACATAGAATGGCGATGCATCGTAGGCCTCAAGCGATAGGTAAGACAGCCATCACAACTTTTGGCCTCTCTCAATTAAAGTGTTAGATGAGTAGCTCAAATGCTTTAATTAGATGTGTGCCGTACATTTCTCGTCTGATAAATTAAATTTCGAAAATCTTGTCCTTTTTTGAGGTTCGCCACTCTCCTACCAGAAAATCCCCTCGAACATTTCTGCTCTTCAACCTAGTCGCAGATCCATTTGAGGAAGAAATGCGAACGTGGTTATGCTCGTGTTAGCATGTGATGAGAACACGAGCTTATCAA